GTATAATACATTCTCCAAGTATCGAAATGCACGCCATCGTGTTGGGGTTCAATATTTCAACATTAATTATGTCATCAACTGTAATTAATTAACATACAATGTGGTCTTTGAAATTGTAAAAGGGCAGCGCTGAATTTCTGGTTGATTGTTTGAGTAGTGTAAAGTATAGCAATAATTAACTACTATAGTGCTACCGTACTGATTCTAAAGAAATGTTTAGAAATGCTCGGACACACAGGTACGATTCTATGTATTTTTTTAATGTTGACTTCTTACAAATAGCTGATACAAATATTTATTTTTTGTATTCTTTTAACCTTCTAATCTATGAGAGCATTTTAAAAATTAATAGGGTGATGTATGCACTCCCAGCTTCCATCTCTGCTTTTGTGCAGTGGTTCATTTTTCGGACCCCTTTTTCCGTCATGTCGGACCCTTCGTTAGAAAAATTCTGGTGCCACCACTGCTTCGCTGTGATTATTTTTTTAACATTAATTTTATAATTTTTTGAACAAATTTCAGCTACCATATTTTAATCTAACCTCTGTGACGATGCAAATATACATATTTTTAAGCTGGGCTTATGCGCCCTTGTAACTTGACTCAACTCAACTGACCTTTAATAATTTAGCCTGGTTTGTAAAATGTAGTGGTGTTTACAAGACTTCTGTAATACCATAAAACCTCTAATTGAAACCCTGGGCTTTTTATTTTTTTTATTATTTATTTAAATTGGTTTTTTTTTTAACCATTGGATGCACTTCTTTTCAAGGCTACTTTTGCAAAGTAAAGAGGGGGGCTTCTCAGGAGTTTTTCAAATTTCCAAAAGGGGGAGTTGCCGGAAGGGGGACCGAAAGTTGGGCCGATTAAGACAACACTGTCGTAGGGGGGTCCAGGAGGCATGCCCTCGTGAAATTTTTGTGTTCTAGACGCCGAAACATAGCATTTGAGGCATTCTGGGCTATCATTTTTTTCTTTCTCTCTCTTTTTAACTACCTAAATCATATACAGTATGTTCCTTTTTATGATAATGAAATAATAAAATGCTACAAACCCCCTTTTAAATATATCCCTATCCCACTACTTTGAATCAGATTATTTACGCAGATTCAAGTTTATAAGAAAAATTAAATATATACAAGAATAATCAATCTGACTCTAATTCATTCTGACTCTTGACTTATTCATTTAATGGATGAATGCCCATAGGTGTATTTATAATATACACTCTGTTGTGTGCTTGTTAGGTTTTTTTATACAGAAAAAATATACAGGTACTAAAGAAAGAATAACAAACTTGCAAATATCAAAATTTATGAAAATTCATGTTCATCTGTTTTGACTATTTTGACTATAATTGTCTGATCTTTTATCAGAGATTCCTCTCCTTTTAGTGTTAAACAGTCTGCTGTCCTCAAATCTTTTACAGTCCCTATAGCACATTGTCTCAATGAAGTCATTTGCCGTTTGTTTATGAAGTAGTAAATTTCTCCAATCATCTGGCTCTGTTTTTGGTAATTCATTGATTCTGTCCCTGAGTGCTGTAATTACTATTTCACTGCATTGCAGTGCCTTCATCACTCTTCAATAATTGATTAAGAAAAGACAGTTTTGTTTTTATATCGGATAATATTGCTTTAAATTCATCAATTTGTACATCATTTACCTTCTTTTTTCTTTTGTAGATTGTCTCTACTTCATTTTTCATTTTGTCTCTATTCTCTTTTACTTTTTTAAATATTTCTTCTACATGGTTGTCTATATCTATTAAACATGTGTCTTTATTTTGTTGTAATTTTGTAGCATTGTGGATAACAGCTTTGAGACCACCTTCTAATTTGTTTATGAAGCGTTGTGCAGATTTTTCTAAGGTGGCTGAAGTTTCTTTAAATGTTTGGAATGCGTCTGAAATGTTGATTGGTTTGTGTTTTCCATCCCATGCATTGTGGTCCATAAGTATACAATTCACACAGATTGGAGTTTTACAATCTGTGCAGTATAACTCCAAAGGTTTACTGTGATGTGAACACAGAGGTGGATGTAACAAAGTCATCTGAGAGGGGCTCATTGATGCCAAACAGAAACTATGAAGGCAGTTGAGGGATTTTGGATTTTGAAGTCTCTTAAAGCAGATGGTACACTCTAAGACCTTCTCATCAACATGTTCCAGAAACTGATTCAACTTACTGGTAGCCATCTTGAATTGATATCCTGTGAAATTTAAATAATAGGTAATATAATTATTATCATTTGAACTGGATAAATAATAATGTCATGCAATCTGATGACCCTATAGAAAATAATGGCTTCTATCTCCTATTTTGTATAGGGTCTGATAGTCTTTAAGAGGATCATACAACAAGCAGAGTACTGCAGAGTAGAACAGAACAAGAGGTGAGGACATAACTAGAATAGGAGATTACACTGAATTTTTTTATTACATTCAGTTTTTTTTTATTATTATTATTTTTTTCTTTGAAATGCATTTATTTAATTTGTTTATTTATAATGTATTTTAATATCAAGTCATTGTAGGTGTTGTACCAGCATAAAATCAAAAGCAATATGAAAATTTCTGGGCGCATTTAAAATTATAACAATAGTTATTAACATATTTTTTTTCATTTTTTGAGCAAGAAGAAACTTCCTTTGTCTCAATATAATTATAATAATAAATTGTAAAGAGTATCTGGAACACCAAATAGATGAC